CTGAAGAATTAATTGAGATTAATTAAGGTAATTAAGATTATTAGTGTGCCTAATCTGGATTATTAATTGAGTGTAATTAATAAATGTTTCTGACACGTGTGAGTTTAAATAGTTCCAAGGTATTTAAATTATTCTCAGTAATTTATTTTAACCCAGAAGTGTGTATGGGCTCATTTCTGGACTGTTATTTTAAAATATTGTACACATCATTTTCTTTCCTTTTCTTTTTCTTTCCTTTTTCCTTTTTCCTTTCCTTTCTCTTTCCTTTCCTGTGCACTCTCTTTCCTTCACTCTCACTCTCCCGTGCTCTCTCTCTCTCATTTTGTCCCAAATCAAACGGATCTTGAACCAAGTAAAGATTTAAAGAAGTTTTCAACGTCAAGAGAAGGATTCGAGGTAAGATTACTGAAAGAACCTCTCTTGAATCTCAAGTTTTACGTTTTCGGATTTCAAAACCCATTTTTGGTTTAAACCGGATTTTGATGGTTTTTGAGTAAAACTAGAGTAGAAATTGGAGATCTTGGGTTCTTTGGACTTGTTTTAGGACCTAGAACCCAGATCTAGTGGTTTCCCTTTGAAAAATCTCGATTTGGGACTGGATTTGCAGGTTTTGGATTGATTTCCGTGAGCTTCTCTCGCGCAGCTGATTACACCGGTCGACCAGTGCGGTCGACCGGATCACATGGAAATCGATCGACCAATGCGGTTGACCGGTCGACCTGTCCGGTCGACCGGTGTGCACACTACCGATCGACCAGTAGTGTTGCACTGCTCTGTCACTGGTCGACTGGTTGACATGGGGTTTGACCCTGTTTGGCCTGAAATTGCTGTTTTGACCCTTGTTTTCGGGGAGAACCCAAATTAGCTTCATTTGGGGACTTGAGATAGATGGATTAGCATTGTTAATCCTTGTTTTGAGATTGAAAACCCTTGGAATGATAATTTGAAACAAAACCCTTGGAATGATATTTTGAAACATGAAAATGGATTAGGGCACACTAATAGGAAATCTTGGTTGGAAATTGAGATTTGGATTGCTTTAGGAATGAGAATTGATCCTAAAGTGTTGTCTTGCATCAGTGATCGCAGAGGATTCAGACTGAAGGGGCTTGAGGAAGCGGAAGCCAGAAAAGGCAACGCTAGTCCCAGGTTTGATCGTGCGAGGTAGGATTTCTATCCCTTTTCCTTGTGAGCCTATTTTCAAAAAGGATTTTGGCCTTGAAAATGTTTTAAAGAAAGGGATTGATTTGTGAAAGAAAATGCTTTGAAAACCATGGCTTGTTTAGTCATGGAACCTCATGGCTTGTCCAGTCATGGGGCCCACGGCTTGAGTAGTTCGTGGGGTCATAAAAACGATTTCAGAAAAATTAATGAATGATTTCTTAAGCAAAGAGATCTTGTGAACTGGTAATAGAGTCTATTGCTGTAAGCCTAGATAGGATGCGGAAAGTGCATCCTTGGGGGCAGAACCAAAAACTCGGTCTGGGTTGGCGAGGCACTTGGTTAGGTGAGTAATTTGTACTAATTACTAAGCCTGTAATATGGAGATTTTACATTTGTTTCCTTTGAGAAAAAGGATGTGAGGTTCCGGCTATTCTGTCGGAACTGAATGTCTTATTTTATTTACCTATTTATTTATGTATTCCCTCGTACATTTATTATAACATTTATTTCAAATTATATCCTACTGGGCCTTTCGCTCACGTTTTATGTTTTAAATGT